CAGACTAATAGAAAGGTGAAGTGTTTTGTAAGAAATAGTGAAACTTATATTCCTAGTCCCGTTTGGCTTGTACTTACTGACATTCTGTTTAAGACCTGGGTGCGGTCCCGGGCGAGGGGCAGGCTGACATTGCTGTACATATGTGGGCTCTCGTCTTCTACTCCAGGGGTGGCAGAAAGAGCTAAAACGCCCAGAGATGAGGGAAGGGATGGGACTCGGTGAGTCAGGATACGGGGAAAGCAAACTTGTAGGAGACCTTCGTCTGCCACCTGGCTCACACGGGTCCTTCAGGGGGACGGCCACACTCGTAGTCCTGGTAAGGACGCCGAGCGGGGAAGAGGGGCGTCCCCACCCGACTGGCATCTGAGGGGACTGTGGAGAAGGACGTGCAGGTGCCCAAGGGGCGGCAGATCTGGACGGCAGCAAAGGCAAAACGGATCAGACCATCAGGAGCTGCTGGCAAAGTCCAAGGGGGGCCACCTCGGAGCCACACGTCAGGCCCTCAGAGTAGAGGAGACGCTCCCACTTCCCACTGTCTCGCGTGCTCTGCCTGGACCTTTGTGCTCCCTCATTCCAGAGTCTCTCCTCATGCAGCCATGTGCGTGTCGGTGAGGAGAGGCAGGCACGGGAAGGACAGCGGATGGGAGGACGGACCCCAGCACAGCCTCCCGGGAGGCCCAGGACACGGGCAGGCAGCAGGGGAAACCGTCTCCGGTGAGGAGAGAGAAGGTCCTGAGGAGGGACACCTGGAAGCCCCAGAAAGGGCAGTGCTTCTGGAAGGGGCGTCAGCATCGCAGGGTGCAGGACGTGGGGACTGTCTCCTGTCCCCAGCAGGTACCGTGGTGCCCGGAGACCACACGGGAGGAGGACAGAATGATCTGATTCCTTTGGGGGAACCTGAGCACATGTTTTTTAAAGCCTTCTGGAAGAGAGAATCAAGGCCGAGCTCCGTGCCTGGGCTCACAGGGCCTCGGGGTGATGACAGTGTTGTAGGCTCCGCAGCCTTTCCACTGACGCCACTCGAGCGGCCTCGGGTCCCAGGGCAGCTGTCAGGTGCGGAATCTGGGCAGACACCGCGGGCACCGTCATCCTGAGATAGAGGTGAGCAGCCCCTTGACTGAACGGATTCTAGAACCACAGCTGGTAGGACCTGGGAGTTAGCCGGGCCTCGGGGCCAGCGTGGCCCCACAGTCACGCAGCCCCAGACCCAGGCCCACCTGAGTACAGCCGGGCACGGAGGCCGCCGGTGAGGGCTGCTGTGTCAGCCGGAAGATCCTAACGACGGCGACACTGTGACATCACCCTGGGCGTTCCTGTTCTTCTGCGTGAGAGAGAAGCGGCCCGAGGGACGGCGAGGACTCACGGTGGCTCAGACACTCGTCCCTGGTCTCAGGTTCATGGCTGGTTAGAAATCACACCATTTGCTTATTTAACAAATTACTATAAAGAGGCGGCATGCCGTGGCACAGACCGTCTGAGTCCCCGAGTTCCTGCCTCCCCTCGGGGCACGGCATTTCACGTCCCCATGGGTCCTGGCTTGAGCCCCCACTGCACCGCCGGCCAGCGAGCTGTAGGTCAAGCTCCTCAGCCTCCCTGTGCTCGTGTCTTCCTCCTCAAAACAAGGCTGCGGCGGATCCACAGTGTCACGTGAAAACGAATGTTCATCAAGTATATGAAAATGTGTGGTCGATGTGTGCCAACAAAATAACCCGAAATGGACCAGAGGCCTGAATGTAAGTGCTAAAACTATGCGAGCCGTAGAGGAAACCATGGGGGTAAACGTTCATGACCTTGGACTTGGCCATTCTTAGGTGTGACACGAAAAGCACAAGAGGAAAAAAGAAAAAAATTCTGTAAGTCGGACTTGAGCAAAATTAGAAGCTAGTCTGGCTCCGGTGTCCCCTCCCCCGAAACCTCTCCTGATCCCTCCCGATGGAACGGGTTTTTATAGTGAGGACGCGACAACAGCAGACATGCCCTCGAGCCGGCACTGGTGCGGGCGCTGCTCTACGCACTTTCCATCGTCCGCTGGCTCATCACACCCGCCCGTGTCAGCTTCTGCTGTCATCTCCAGTGACGGGAAGAAAACGAGCCCGGGTCACGTCGTGCATGCTCTGTGCCCCCACGGCCTGTGGCACGGAGCTCTGTGCCCCGGAGCTCTGTGCCCCGAGCTGGTACAGTCTCAACCCCCGTTTGCAGATGTGAGCCCCTGGGTCTGCCTCTCCCCTGGCAGGTCCCCCTGTGTCGTCGGACCACCATGACTCCTGCAGGGGAGGGAGAGCGAGGAGACGGTCAGGCCTGTGTCCTGGAGTCCTGGAGGACCTTGAACTCTGGACCAGACATTTAAACTCTGTCCCATGCCCCAGAAAAGCCACTGCAGATTTCCAGGAACAGTGCTTTAAGAAACAGGATCGGGACTGGGATGTGTGAGATGCATGGAGGGAGGGAAGCAGGGACACCTGCGCCCTGTGGGGACCCCGGGGGGATCAGCCCCAGCAGGGTAAGGGAGAAGCCGCTGCAGGAGGGGAGCTAAAGTCTTTGCACCTCGGGGGGCAAGGCGGGGACCGGAGTGGCCGCTCACAGGGAAGGCATCGAGGTGCTCCCAGGGCGCTGGGAACCGCGGTGACGGCCCGTGTGTCGAGCAGGGCTGGAGAGTGGAGGACTCCGCCGCTGGCCCCAGTGCCTGTCCTGCCCCTGTGGCGCCTGTCCCCAGGTGCAAAGCTGCGCATGGCCCCCCTGTCTCCAACCCCCGGAGCTCCACCGGCAGGTCTGGAGGAAAACGGAAAACGTCTCCCAAGCAAAGCACACTCTTCCTTACAACGTGTTTCTTTTCATTTTCCTTCCATTAAAAATAAAACAAGGTGATAAAAGATTTAATGTCTATCATAGCACATTTTACTCACTCAAAATATTAATTGGCTGCGGTCTGATTTGATTCAGAAATTTATTATAGGCTTAGAATACATAAAAGAGGTTAAAATTTAGTAATAACATCTTCCCCTTAGGCAAACTCACGAGAACAGCCACTGAAGTTAAATCAGGACGTATACGTGTGTCTGGGAGTCTCCCGGCTCCGTCCCGGTTGGAGTGAATCCCGGAAGCGCCAGGCGTCCTGAGCAGAAATCTGACGCTTGGCGCTTTCAGATCTGCCGTCCGTGAGAGCCATCTGGGGAAACTGCCTTTTTTGCGTTTTCAATTAAAAAAAAAAGTTAATATTTCCACCTTTTCCTCTCTCCGTGGTCTCTTAAAAGACACTGACAGTGTTTTTTTATAGACTCTTTTAAAAGAAAAACACCTGGTTTGAGTCCTGTGCCGGGTCCACGTGGCTCAGATTCCGTGGGCATGGCCCCGTGGACACGGAAGACAGGGAGCAGGTGCGGAAACTCGGGGCCCAGCAGGTGTGTGCCTCCGAGGGCACGGACACTCTGCCGGCTCCTACTCACAGAGCTTCAGGGGACATTGGGTTTTCCCTGGGCCACAGCTTTGCCCATTTCGCGGTACGCTGGAATCACGCGGGACCTTTCTTTAAAATTCTGATTTCTGGCTCTCGCCCCTCGATACTGATCATGGGGCTGGGCTGGGGACCAGGCAGTGGGGTTTTTAAGGGCTCCCCGGATCCTGCTAGTGACCAGCATTGGAGAACCACTGACCGAGACCATCCTCGTCCTCCATGAGTGGGTCACCGCCACCCAGCAGCTCAGGAGCACCTCTGCCTCGCGTCAGCCCTTCACCCAGACCGGGGTTCACTCAGCGCGGGCAGCGGCCCCTTCCGGCTGGTGTCCCCAGCACCCCTCGTGAGATGACCAGGCCGGCCACACAGTCCCCCGCTCACGGCCCTGCTGCCTTCTCATCGCCAGAAGACTCGCATCCAACCGGGTTGCCCCTGCTGCTGGTGGGGTTCCATGAGGGGGACAGACCCTGTGGGAGCCGGCACCTGCCGCTCCCTGTCCCCCCACCCTCCACCCGCGCCGACATCCCGCACCCACGCCAGTTCAGCTCTCCTCCTGTGCTGTTTCTTCTGTGCACTGAGCTTCTCGGCCCACCTCCGTCCTACTCTTCGCTGCGCCCTCAGCACGAACAGCACTTTCTCAAAACCCCTTCGCCTGGCGGGGCATGGGGGACCCTGGAGGACCTCACGCTGAGCGAAATAAGCCAGTCTCAGAAGGACAGATATTGCATGATTCCATTTACATGGGATGCTTTGAGTCACCAGCTTCGTGGAGACCGATGGCAGACGGGGGCGCCGGGGCTGCGGGGGCGAGAGCATCAGCATTCGTGGGGACAGAGTCTCTGCTGGGGATGACAGGAAGGTTCTGCAAACAGTGACGTGACGGAGGCACAATTGTGTGAATGCGCGATGCCACCAAATTATACACTAAACCGTGGTCATGGTGGCAAATTTTGTGTCGTGTGTGTTTTTCCACATTAAGAATTTCCATCGTGTTCTCAGTGAATCGTTGACCTAAGTTAGGGAATCCTGTTACGTGTTCCCAGAGCCCCCCTCCCCCCATCAGAACGTTCTCCTGGTAAAGTTTGTCTCCTTTACTGGATTGTAAGTGGAGTGAAAGCCCGTTCTGTGTCCCACCCCATTAAACATGGCACCTCTGGTGAGGGGCACAGGGGGGAACCCCTTGTTAACTGTAGTGACTACTGAATGAGTAAATGCCAGGTTTCTGGGGTTTGAGCCCGGAACCGCCAGGAACAGCACAATAGTGGGAACAGATGACGCGGTTTGGTGGGGAATCCCCTAAAGGATGAGACCACGGATTGTCCCATCCTGGGAGATGAGCGCGTGGGGCGAACCGTGGGAAAGGGAGACTCTGAGTAACGGGAAACGTGGGGCCCCGTGTGTGAGCCCCAGAGGATCCCTGTGCCGCCCTTGTTCTAGCAGAGAAACGCACCAGGCAGAAGCAAAGCACGTCACTGGCTTCAGATTTCTTAAGAACACCCTGTTCACAACCACATCCTGGGCTAACACTGTTTTCTCTCCTCCTGATTAGATATTCATCTTCGAAAACAATATCTACTACTGCGCGCACGTCGGAAAGCAGGCCATCCGAGTGGTGTCGACCGGGAAGGAAGGCGTGATTTACAACGGACTCAGCGACTGGCTCTATGAAGGTGAGCCGCGCGCGGGGCCGGACGGGGCTGGGGGCCTGCTACCTGACTGGCGGTGCTGGCCGTTTTCTTGGACTTCAGCCCAGTTTAATCTCCAGTTTCTTAAGGTTCTGCTGGATTACAAAGATGCCGTTGGAGTTCAGGGAGCATCAGGCCGTCAGTGGAGCACTCACTTGGTGGCCAGGTGTGCAGAGGTTTCTAGAACCCGAGGTCCTGGGGGAAGGGGCAGCAGGTGCTGTCCTGGGAGGTTTGCACATGCAGAGCTTTCTCAAGCCCCTCCCCAGGAGGTAGGGTGCCTTGTTTTGCGGGGGGTGAAAGCGAGAGCTGGAGAAGGAAGGAGGGGCAAAGCTTTCCAAAGAAGCCGGTCCGGGTGATGGGCGGTTGCGAGGACGTCTGCGTGGTGGGTGTTTTCTCCGGCTGGCTTCCCTCTGGCACCAGTTCTCCCCCTGAATGCATTATTGAATAACTAAAACGTGAGCAGGAGGCTCTCTTCTTAAACATTTACGATCCGTCTCCGTGCTGATGAGAATCCCGTCGTCATGGCAACACTCCTCACCGGTCGCCATCGCGTTCCGGTCACTGTTCTGGGCGCTTTCCTACCTGCTGCCTCACTCAGCCGTCTTCCATCTGAGTCAGCTCTGAAGGGCACTGTGACGGGGGCTTAAACAAGCCTTTATTCCTCCCGGTTCTGGGGCCACATGTCCAGGATCGGGGTGCCGGCCGAGCCCGTGTCTGTCGACCCACTGCTCGGCTCACAGACGGTGTCTTCTCACTGCGCCTGCCCGTGGCGGAGGCGGGAGACAGATCTGGTCTCCTCGTCCCCTCATCAGGGCACCAGGCCCGTCATGGGGCCTCCCCCGCTCGTGATCTCATCCCCTCTCAAAGACCCCACCCCACCCGGGACTCAGGCTCCACGGTGAATTCTGGGGGTTGCTGACATTCAGCCCAGCTTGGCCCCCCGACCGCGGTGTGACCGCACCCCACATGGGGCAAGAGAAGCTCAGGTGATCGGCCAAGTTCACACAAAGTTAAGGCATGTGCGCTGGGGGGTATCACTGGTCGAGTCTGGGGCAAGTCCTTTCTACAAATGCAGGTGGGGTCAGGATCTTTCTGTGCCAGTGCTGGGCCGACAAGCAGCCTGTTCTCCTGAGTCTACCTGCCTGAGGCCACATGGCCACGGGGACAGTTCCCCATGCCAGGCCGGGTCAAGGAACGATCAAGCCCAGAAAACACCGTTTTTCCTCAGTGCTGTGCATTCCTCAAGCTGGGACCGCACTGCGAGGCTATGTGCGCCAGCGGGCCTAGATCAGAGAGACGGGGAAGCTTAGTACCAGTTACCATCCGCATCTCACGGAGGTCTCTGAAGCAGAAAGTTCTCCAACTCAATTTCTTGTGTCCGTTGTACACGATGAAATGCACCGTCCTCGGGACACAGTTCGATATACTGATGGACCGTATGTACTCTGCATCCCAAGCACGACATCGCGCATCCCATCGTCCCAGAAAGCTCCTCTGTGCCCTTCCTGTTCCACCCCCCACCTGAGTCTCCTTCCTGATGCCACGACCGTCCTGATGTCATAGGGCCTGTTTCCCAGCAGACGTGCAACACGGGTGCCCACCAGGGTGGTTCTCTCCGGGCCAGTCACCCCTCCAGGGGCTTTATTCTAATGTGAGGCTGGCAAGGCTCCGAGCACTTAGGATTCCAGGTTCTGAGTTGCTTTCCGGGCCCTGGGAGAATCGACCTGAAGATTTTATGGCCCATATTGTCCTGGGCCCCACCTGAGGGTATCAACTGGCATGAAAAGGTAACTGGCCAGTGTCCACTCTGGTCATGCGCACAGCCAGCCCTGTACGTGGTTGGCCCCACGTTCCAGAACATTCTGCACAGTAGCAACCCGAAGCCCCCCCTAAATAAGAAAAGATCCTGGAAGCCTGGCTGTAAGAGCTTAGACAGCTCTGGGACTAATCTCCATTAAAGAAAAAAGAAACCCATAACCAGAAGGTTTAAAATATCTTTTTTAGTATCTTCCTAATAAAATAAAAAGCTCATTGCTCAGCAATTCAAGTTAAGCTTTTGCTTCAGCAAATCCAGTGAAAGGAAATTTTTCTTCCAGGCATTTACACACAATCATGTTGGCATGATAACAGAGCCCCAAATATCTCAAATCTGTCACAGCTGATGTGGTAGCATCATCTGCTTAGTGGTGGTCCCTGGAAGGTTCTAGACCCCCAGGCTTGGGTTTCTCAAGCCGGGGGCCTGAGAGCCCAGAGGAATCGTGGTTCCTATTTGAGTAACGGGTAGACTTTGAAGGTGGTCTTCTGACCTGTGACTTAACTGTTTCACTTCCAGATACTTCTTCTAAAAAAGAAAAAAAAAAAGATTGAGAAAAATATGGGGGCTGGGGAGCGCGCTGACAGAGTTCGCAGAGGGCCACTTGGAGAGGTGAGCTCCGGGCAGACCCGAGGCTGGATCAGGGGAGCCGCCGTGCCGTCCCCGGGCTTGGAATCGCGAATGCATCATTGATTTGCTTTGTTTCCCCAAAGGGGTCTTCACCGCGCTGGACATTTGGGAATGCCGGCGGCTGAGGGCGAGAAGGGGCGGGAGACGTGGGGGCTGCCGGGACCCTGAGCTCCTTGAACAGACGTGTGCGCCCACCCGTGCGAGAATCCGTCCGGCTGACCAAAGCTGGAAACTCAGCGCCGCGTGCCTCCCCCATTCACGGGAGTCCTTGGCTCGAGGCGGCCACAGACTGATTCTGATAAGTAAAGCGCCGCCTCGGGTTTATCATTCTGGGCAAACGCCATGCAGTGACACCGAATTCTGACTTGAGTGTAAGATTTAAAACTGCTTCTAGCGCCCCACAACTGTGTTAAGGTTTACTGAGGTCGGCTACCCAGAAGGGAAAAGGAAGGTGTTCCTGGGTTTTTTGTGGGTTTTTTTGAGAACTCCGATCCAGGGTCAAGAACTCACACGCTGAGGCAGGTTCATCTTATGTTCATGACGTCTCCGTCTCCCCCATCGCCGCTGTGCACGTGGGGCGTGCGGGCCCAGCACAGGTTTTCTAAGGAGACTTGAGGTCGTTCTGTGTTTCAGCCGTGAGACGACCATTCCTCTGCCGTCCCAGCAGTCGTGCGCATGCTCCCAGATAAAAACCGTTACTCACGGACATGCCGGTATCATGAAATGGCTTGTACCTTGGGGGGGAAGTGGGAGGGGTTGGGGTCACTTGAAAGCCAGGTCTTGCCCCACATAGAGAAGCCCTGATCTCCTCAAGTCCTCTGAGATGCAGGTGGTGCAAGAGGGACAGTGAACTCGGGGCACAGCCTGGAATCATCGGGCCGGGATGATGGGCAGAGCCGAGAAAGTGGCCTGAAGGGTATTTACGTAACACGTGGCTTGGCACAGATGTGACCCCACGGCTGGATTTTAACCTGAACGTGCCCAGAGTTTAAAGGTACGTGGAGGATGTGGCCTGACCCGAGGACCGTGCGTGGCCAGACAGCCTTGTCCCAGGGGAGTCAGCAGGAACAATGCTCAGTAGAGCCCTCAGCTAGCTTCCCTGTGCGCGTAACTCGAGCATGGTTTTACGATCGTCCAGTCAGGGGCACCCGGGTGACAGTGCCCGTATTTCGGGAAGAGTCCATGCAGACCGCGATGCCTTCTGCTGTGCCCATGCCTGGTGCCCACTGTGGCCCCTGTCCTTCCTTTTCCTAGAGCCCCCAGTGCTCCTCACCAGGGCCAGGGCCCTCATGGCACTCTGCCCTCTGGCCACCCACCCTGGACCCCCAGATCCCTGTCAACCGGGCCCTGGGCTGACTGGGCCTCCCTGGGAGCTGGGGTGGAGGAGGGGGGATGTGGCAAGGCTGGCCAGCGAGGCCCCTTGCCCACAGCTGCTATGGATGGAAGTGTGTCAGCACACCCCAAGTTCGAGCTCAGAATGTTCTAGAAGCACTGTTTTCACCGTGGGCAGGCTGCTGTAGAGTTCTGCTAGGCTGGTTTGTCCTGCGCAGCCCACATACATCAAAGTGTGGTCCCGTGTCCTCATATGCTGGGTTCAGCCTTCCGTCTGAAGCCTGCGATGCTGGGACAAGACTCGGGCCTGTGGTTCCTGACACTGTCTGCGGCAGCATCTCGTCCGGGGTCAGCACAGGGGACCTGGAAGTGTTTTGTCCCAGCCAGGTGCTCTGAGAGACATCTGCAGAAGGTCGGGGGGCCCAGCGGATAGATCAGTTACCTCCTGATTCAAGGCTTTGGGGTGACTCCATGCCTTACCGTCTGATCCACCAAAGGCTGTTGCTGGGGAAAGGCTTCCGTGGGAAAAGACGTCACCATGGTGAAGGCCTTTGTGCAGATCCGTGGGTTGACCCGACGCGCCTTCCACGGGGGGGGACGGCTCTTCCCTGTTCATCCGCGTCACATGGAACTTTCTCCTTCGCCTGAGATCGAAACAAAGCTCTCAAGCCCTGTTTTCCGTGGAACACGCTTACTGACTTGTGTTTAAGGTCATGGCTTGTTAAGTATGGGGAGCCATGTCCGCTTTAATGCATGTCGATGTTTGGTGTGTGTCCAGCGCCCGCTCAGCCGGGGTCACAAGCAGACTGAGCCCCCTGGGACTCCGGTGACAGTCCGGCTTCTGGGGCACAGCCCGAGCCTGGCACCGTGGGAGGGAGCTGGGGGGTGTATCGCACAACATCATTTCACCGGTGAGAACGAGCTTCCCACACCTCTAAAGCCGTTCTTGAAACTTCCCAACAGACACGCAGATGACGAGGGTCTGCAGGGTGTGTGGACTCATGGTGGCTGCAGATTTCCGGCGACTCCTCTTGTGTTAACTGTCTCTGACGTACCCGGTCGGGGCAGTCCACTGCTCGGAAAGTGCCCTGGGAGTGGACGGAAGTGAGTGATGCACCCGTCGTACGTCATTCCAACTGGACAGAGAGTTTTAACCTACATGATGTGGCCCGTCGTGGATGGACTTGGAATTGTGTACACGTCTGCGCGT